CCATGAAGATTTTTGCAGTGTTTGCAGGAAAAGTGGCCAGCTACTTATGTGTGATACATGCTCACGTGTATATCACTTGGATTATCTAGACCCACCTCTGAAAACAATTCCTAAGGGCATGTGGATTGTGTCCCAAATGTCAAGACCAGATGCTGAAAAAAGAAGAAGCAATTCCATAGCCAGGGACTTAAGCAATTGTTCATTCATATATTGCGTACAAAACAGGTAAATTAAGTAATCTATGGTGAGTTTTTTGGGGGGAGGGGGAAGTAACCAGAATGTTTTTTCTGCTCAGTTATTAAATGGAAATAATAAAATCAATAACTAAATATTTGATAATCAAATTAGCAGGACAATGGGATTATTTTTTAGTGAATCCCATCTAAAACATCAGGAATAATTTAGCATCACAATCACTGCCATTTAATGTTGGTGGTAAAAAAAATCGATGTGAGCACATCTGTATAGCACAACTAATAAATCTCTCTTCCACAGCAAAAGAAGAAGAAAAACAGAAATTACTAAAGTGGAGTTCAGATTTAAAGCAGGAAAGGGAACAATTAGAACAGAAAGTCAAACAACTCAGCAATTCTATAACAGTAAGTATTAACCATTGCCAGGTGATCATTTATTTGTATTTCCTTGCTTTTCACTAAGAAGAACCATGAAAAGGTGATCTTTTAAATCCCATATCAATCTAGAGGTGAGGGGTCCTTGGTGTTTTCTGAGCAGTCACCCAATCAAGGAAATGCCAAACCTGCTAACACTATACAGCCCAACCAAAGAACCACCAAGACCACTCCTACCAATACTGACAGGACAAGTCACTGGAATACAAATGACAGCAAACCCCCACTCAATACTAGCACGGATGATATTACCTAGTTTGAGTAATGAAATGCCTGCAAGAAAACATAAAAGCTTAGAGAACACCAAGGACTCCTCATTTCAACCCTGATCGCATTTTGAGTGCTTGGTAACTCACTTGCATGTATGATGCACTCTTTTAATTTGTTATTTTCTTTCAAACTCAGCAAAGTTTATACATTTCAACAAACATGTTGGTTATTTGTATACTATTCAGTTTCAAATTCTGTTTTATGTTTTTCAATTTCAATTATTTTTTATCTACCTTAAGTCTCTTAATTGTGCATGTGAAAACCATTGGATGCTAAATTATGATATTCTTTTGTATAGAATTTTATTTTCTTGGACAGATTGTTCCTGTTGGATCAAGGTGTGTATATGGTAAATCAGAAATATGCCACAGATAGACAGAAAGAAATTTCAGCCATTCAAAGAGAAGAATTTGGTGTTTAACTTGCTTTTTAAAATTGAGAACCCAAGACTGATTATTTCACATTACTAAATTTGGTATTTTTCTATTGTTATCTATAGTACAGCATAAACATACACTTTATTGCCAAAAGTTTGGTCACCTGCCTTTACTCGCATATGAACTTACTGTAAGTAACATCCCATTCCTAATCCATAGGGTTCAATATGACGTCNATAGGGTGATATCCATGAAGATTTTTGCAGTGTTTGCAGGAAAAGTGGCCAGCTACTTATGTGTGATACATGCTCACGTGTATATCACTTGGATTGTCTAGACCCACCTCTGAAAACAATTCCTAAGGGCATGTGGATTTGTCCCAAATGTCAAGACCAGGTATTGTTGTTTCACATAAAAAAAAATAGGCACAAAAAAAGTACAAATCAGTAGGCATTGCTAAATTGAATGAATTTTGCAGCTCTCAGCTTATTTGTTATAAGATTGCCTCTGTTTTCTACATTGTAGGATATTTTTCAGCCATTATTAATGTCATAACGTAAGAACTGTGGTTGTCAAAGGCAAAGTCAGAAACATTGACCAAATCTTTTTTTTTTGACCCATAAATTATCCATAACTATTTCTCCCCACCCAAATTAATATTTTTATTTATGTCATTAATCCATTAGTTTCAAGCCAGTTAAGGAAATCTATATAATCATACATAACATTAATCTCAAAACAAAGGACATTTATGGGAGATGCACATACCAAAATGTCCAATATTTCCCAAATCATTTCTCAGGGTTGTTGGTTTATTTTGTAATGTTTCATGTGGTAAGTTGCTCTGCAGAGAAATAGTTGACCCTGCAAGCAAATATAAGTCCTATTATGGGATGAGGAAGATCAATAAGGAAGGATTGTAATATCCAGATGTGTCTAAACTCCCTTCTCTATTTGCTACTTCAGTTTAAGAAATGCATCGCTATTCATTTATAAATTTAAAAAGAGTCTGTGTGCAGTAAACATTCAGGCAATATATGCAGGTTAAAATATGTACAGAATTGTATAAAATTCAGTAGACATAACAAATAATAATAGATTTTAAAAATACAATCAAGTATTAAATGAAAAAAATGAAACTGTTGTGAGTCATTCCTTGCTTTGTGGCTAATGACAGTTTTCCAAAAGATGGTATCACAGCAACAAGGGCCATTCTTCCCTAATGACTGCCAAATTAATCTCCACAGGCTGTGATGAGGACAGTGGTCAGATGTAGTACTATGACAAAAGACATTTTTTAATATATTGTAATGTTACTTACTTTCTGAAAATCCATGCATTTGCTGTTTATTTGGAGCTACTTAAAACAGCAGTTTGTGAGTCAGAAAGTCATCGTCCTCTTTACTGAAAATGTAAGATCAGATATGTTGCCTTTGCATTCCAGTTCAGTTTTTTATAATTCACAGCAGGAAAGATTTGTAGATTTACAGGAATTGCTGAGGCTGTGATTTAGCTGGTCTCCTTTGTGCGAGGTAAAACACAAAAGAGTATTTCATACTGTTAATACTTTAAGGCCTTTTCCAGCCTGTGGAGGAGGTGTTTTTGCATGTGGTAAATGAAATGATTACCACCTTGGGGAAGAGTGTTGATGTCTTTTTCCAGCTAAATAATGCTTTATTAAGAAATGTAACCAATACTCCCAATTGTATTTATTTACTTATTGGAGGGGGAGGGGAGAGAATCTGTCTTCCTTGACAGAGCAGTTGAGTCATGTGAAGCATACTTTTCACTAACATAGGCACTTAGGGGTTAATGTTTAATAACACAATCCCTGCCTGCCTGTTACTGTTTTGTTATTTTCTGACTGTTTTATAATTCAAATTATTTAAAATATGTGTCTTTATTTAGAGGCATGGCAATAATCTAAGCTCCTTTAACAACTTCATAGTAGCAAGGCTATATCTTCCATCCCTCTATTTTCCTCAAAACACAATAATATATCATTTTAGTACATTTTTAAATTTTAATTTGTGAATTGTGCATTCTTTATCAGAATTTACACCCACTATGCAACCAGGTGCTTTTAGTGCTTACATACAGTATGCCCTTACTCTTTTCTTTACTGAAACCTCAACTTCCGGCCATCCCAATCCAACTGCTTGTCTTGGGCTTAGAAATAAATCCTATAATAAATTAAAGTTGTTTAATTTTATACAACAATTCTAAGAAGACAACTATGAATGTACACATTGCGAATGGTTTGAGGTGCTATATTAAATCTTCCCTAGAAGTAGAATATGTGAGCCAAATGTTCATCCTCCTTTCTTTCAGATGCTGAAGAAAGAAGAAGCAATTCCATGGCCAGGGACTTTAGCAATTGTTCATTCATATATTGCGTACAAAACAGGTAAATTAAGTAATCTATGGTGAGTTTTTTGGGGGGAGGGGGAAGTAACCAGAATGTTTTTTCTGCTCAGTTATTAAATGGAAATAATAAAATCAATAACTAAATATTTGATAATCAAATTAGCAGGACAATGGGATTAT